GATTCAAAGGAATAAACATCTTCAACAGCTAGTAAATCTCAAAGCCTTTATCAACATGTGGGAAATAAGTGTTGCCTCAGACACATTTACCCTAGGATGGGATTATTGCTCAAAGATGATAATATTGTGGAATAATCCTTTTATAAGTATTCTTTTATAAAAAGCCATTTTTAGAAAAAACTTAAGAAAGCTGCAGGTATAAACCTTTATTTCAGCTGTAGAAACTGATACTTTAAGCTTTAAAGTCTGTAATTCCACATAATATCAAAATTGATTCATGCCTGTGGTTTGAAATAATTTTTAATAAAAAAAAAATTAATTCAAATTTTTTCTTATTATTTAGAAGTAAAGAATGCAGCTAGATCAAGTTACTCAAAAGGTTCATATCAATTCAAGAATGCAACTACTAATGCATTGGTTGGTGCCAAGCCTGCTGAAGGAATTCCGGAACCTGTTCCACTTGTTAATAACCGTAAAGGGAGCCTCTTCTTACCCAACAACCCCTCGCTGCTGCACCTTAACTTATTGAGTTCTGTTGAACAAGGAAAGTCTACGTACTGTAGATTGCAAAGGGCACTCAGCTTGCCCGTAAAATACCGCTACCACTCCCAAAAGCCTGGGTTGAACCAAGATCTCCGTAGGTAGCCCCGTAGTTGGATGTATAAGGCAATACAGATTGGTTTGTGCATGGTTTTGCAGTCTGTTTTCGATGTGACTATGACATTACTAATGCTCTGTTAAGTGCTTACAGATGTGGGTTTCTCCAGATGTGGTGATTAATAAGTTAATCAAGACAGCTAGTCAACTAATGTTTCTGGGTGGTTTGTGCTTTACCTTTCATATGGTTTATTTGCTCTGAAGCATTTACATGCTAGGCAGAATGAGTTTGCCAGGTATTCTGGTTCGTGTGATGTTCAGTAACATAGATGTTATTTCAAATTCCATCTCTTTTGAGGTCTAAAAACAGTGTCTGTAATCGGTGTTGCTAGTGACCTGAGAGAGGCAGTGAAGGAGACGGATTTATTTAAAAAATAGTAATAAAAAACCAAAGAAAAAAGTTACGAACTTGTCCACTGTTTCAGGAAGACATTCCCTTTATTTTACTTAAAAAATGAAATGAGGAAAAAGTCAAGTAATGTGTTGTTACAGATGTTCAGCTCTACGTTAAGGCTGTTAAAATTACCAGTACATCTTAAATCAATTCATGGAACATTGTCTAGAGGTTATGTCATTGAAATAATGAATCCTCTTTACTCAAGAATAAGCAAACATGTTAAAACATCAGTGTAACTTTAAATTAAACTCCAGCATAAACTGGAGCGTCTGAAGCCTCATTAGAGTTGCCTGACATTTTTCTAGCACTGACTCTTCCTGAGCTGCAGAACTGTGAGATTCTCTGCCTATTAGACAAGTGAGCACTGGGTTGTTAACAACAGTACATTAAGTGTTATACTTAGGGATGTGCAAACAAGCTCTTGAATTTTATTTGAACTCAGGCTGGATTGAGTTCTGATTCTATAAATTTCTGTGTTCAATTCTTGAACTTGTTCGCAATTTTCATGAAAGCTGGTAAAGAAAATCTGTATAATATAATATGACTATATTTTAATGCAAATCCTGTAGCATAAGGACATCAAAAATACTAAAAATGGGGACACGTTCTCATTAACAAAAGCACTAGGTCAAACACACAACATCAGAGTTGAATTGTCATATATCACAGCCCATTATTCAAATATGGTTGTCTTTCATAAGAACAAGCAAATTGAAGACTCCCTTTTAAATTAATGCAGACACAGGAACTATGAAACTAAAATGATATTTTATGGCTTTACTAAAACTTTTGCTAGATCTATTTCTTTAAATATGCAGGAAATTGATAAGAGTATCTGAAGGATAATAATTAAGTATGTTTTATATCCTACTTACTACTAAGAAGCCACTTGTGGGTTATCATTGCATCACTTTTGGGAAGCAAGCCATAGGTAATGGTGTTCATTATTTACCATTCACATTTTTCAGCTTCATGGATTCCTTTTCCCACATTTTAATGGAGCTGTGTTTCTAAACTGCAGATGCCCTGTGAACTCTCCGCACAGATTTAATTGAAAAACAAAATCTTGTTTGGATGTGATATGATTAAGATAGATCACCTTTCATTGCTGCAATAAGAATAAATGGCATCCTTGCTTAAGCAAGGCTTTGTTATAGCAACAAATTGAGATCCCTCAGAAGGCTTTGCTAACAGGTATTTAGTAGTGAGCCACATTAACCTTGGACTTTCCAGGCAATTGGTAACAGTAATGTAGTTTGAATATGACAAGCAGATACCAAAAGAGGGAGCTTATTTATTTTAGATTCAGTACCCAAAATAACTGCAGACTGCTAGAAATCTAGTTCCAGAAATGGCTATTAGGGATGATTGCTAGTAAGACTCTGTTTTTCAATTGGGCAGATGGGTGGCATCACCTGGCAGCATTGGAATACACAAAGATTGGACCTTATAGTACAATGGATCCTTATTGTACTAACTTCCAGTATTTGAAAGGATCAGTCAGAAATATTATTAGTTAGCTGAAAACTTAAAAAAGTACTCTTTTTTACTAGTGTTTTCTATTGTTCATTAAAAATATTTCTGGCTATAATATGATCTACAGTAGACTTGTGTTAATAGAAGATTTTGCACATGGTCCTGGTGGCTATATATCTTCCTTTAAGTGTTAAAATGGTATAACAATGCACTTTAATTATGGTGCAATACTGAATTTCTTGACAAACATTCTATAACCCCATGACAGCAGATTAAATTAAGTTAAATTTAGAATTTTTACTACCAAGAGAGCAAAGCATATCAGTTGTAGCTGATTTCTGGAAGGAATATTTTGCATGGTTCTTGTTCCCTTGATCTTTTAAGAGGTGGATTAGTCAGATTGGAACTGAATGTCTATATCCTATAAAGAACAAGAGAGGACAGTATATATCTTAAAAGTAACCTATTGTCTGTGTGGAATAACATGCGAATAACTGTTTGATAGACAAGTTTAAAACAAGACTAGGCCATTTCCAAGAGAGTGGTTTGCAGAGGGTGTTCTGAAATGCACTAATACTTGCACTTTGTTATAATCAGAAATAGAAAGATATTACTAACAAAATAATTCTGTGAATATTCACTTCATGTTACAAATAACTAAATACTGAAGTGATCTAGTTTAATCTGAGCAAGCATCACAGAAATAAAATTTCAATTTTTATATTTTTGAGAATTTTCTATGGGTTTATTTATCTCTCAGCCAAACAAAGAACGATACTTGACGAATGATCGATAAGCATTCCCATTATAGGACTCTGACTTCGAAAAAAAGAGAAGCCAAATGAGAAGGAAATGGCTTTGTCTTTGAGGATGCTGCCCAAGAAGAAAGGAAAGTTATGTTAGTGAAATAAATGATTATTAGACACTCATTGCTCTGATCAAAGTATGACCTTTTACATGACTCTTTGGGGGCTTTATTTTGGGATTAGCTTTTTTTCTAATTTTTTTTTTTCTTTTTATTTTGCAATGCTTTATTTTGTTTTGATTCCCTTGACATGTTAGGTGATGCCAGGTCATTTAAAAAGATAGCACATCTGTCTTTTCTGGGTCCAGTCCTTTGGTCTTGACCAAGGTAAAATTAAGTTCTGTGGCAGACTTGGGCAAATAGAGAGACGTGACAGGCTAGAGTGGAGTCTGTAATAAGATATTGTTAGAAGAAGTGTTACAGCAGAATGATACTGCTTAATTTCTTCTCAAATAAGTCTAAGGCAGGTGACATATATCCAGGTTTGGTTGTTCCTACATAGCTTGTTGGAAATAGAATTTTTTTTTTTTTCCAGCCTCTGCTTGTGCACTGCTAATGTGTATTAAGCTCTTTTAATCTAGCTACTACTACTACTAATCTCTTTCCTTTTAGCTTTAAAGTAACAGCTTCCTAGGCATCAGTTATATTACCTTCTAGTTCATTTTTCAGTTAACAATAGGATGAGAAAAAAGTGTATTTTTCCTTCTTTATATTAGAATAATTCATCATTAGTGTGAATTTGAAAAAGTGGGCATAAGAAAATTCCCTTTGATAGCACATGTAAACTTTATGCACAGATTATCAAGTGCAGTAACAATCTTGGAACAGTAAAGATGATGGTTAATTCTTAGAGATGAGTTATTAGGAAGATGCACTTGTTTAAGCAATACGTACTGTGACATAGGTTATCCGAGAGTAGTTTATGATTGGCAAAACCGTAAGTGATTTTACCTCTGGAAATTGATCTGTCATTGAAAATGCACCTCATCCTCATTAAAAGATTGCATAACATATGCATCCTCTGTTATACAGGTATTGTCTCCCCACTTCCATTCAACCTCATTCTGTTCACTCCTGTTAAAACTCCCTTTTGTGAGAAGGGTGGTGCGATGAGGTCTGACTTGTGCTGGAGATCTGTGCACAATGGCAGGCTGCGTTCACGTTCCTGACTAACTGAATCATTGAACATCAAGGCATTGAATATTTTACATCTCTTCATGAAGACTCTGTTATTTGGCATGTGAGGAGCAAGAACCAACTGGTGTCTAGTTCATTAGCAAAAGCGGGCTGGCAGCTGTTATGTTGGTATTGCAAATAGTTCTTTATCTTTCTGAGAATATAGCAGAGCACTAATTCTACTTTTCTGTAGCACAGATTAACTGAAAATAACTCTAAGAATAACCCGAATGTGGTTCCCCCCTTTGTTTTTGAAGTATGAAACCAATTTGAACGCCTGTGTTCAAAGCCCTGGTATTTTTCCCTGCTTCTCCTTCAAACCAATCTCTTTGACTAACATGTATTTGATTTTTATTACTGTTGGGCCTATGTTAGCAATGAAGTATCAGTGCGTGAATGGACATAGAGTGTGTGTTCTTTGCTACTTCACTTGTATATCATATTGCACTTAGAGCAGTACTTAATCTCATGAGTTCCTTATATTTCCAGTTGAAGATGAGCAGCCGTCGACACTATCACCCAAAAAAAAGCAGCGAAACGGAGGCATGCGAAATTCACCCAACTCCTCACCCAAACTGATGAGGTAAGACTGTAAGAAACTCATATCTTCATCTTCTTTCTTCCTTCCTTCCTCTTCTCCTCCCCCCACTTCAAAAATAAGGGGAGGGGGTGGAAAAGAAAGATTGTTAGATGGTTTCTGAAAGGCTGAAGTATTTATTCTGTCAGCTTGTCAGCAGTTAATGATAGAGCTGAAAAAAATCCTGTCATGAAAAACAGTTTGAAAAGCTGTTTGAAAAATACATAGGCTTTAAAGTCTTAGCTGTCACCCTGTCCTGTCCGTGTGTAGTTCTTAAACAGCAGTGGCACTAATGATAGCACTAACCAATCAGGGGAACTCATGTGGTTAGTTTGCCTCAGGCAATTCTCTTTTTGTTGGATTCCCTCTGAGTACTGTTTTCTGTACTTAAGGCCATATGTGAGATGTATCATCACAATCAAAAATGAACCTGAATATTACCTTCCTTTTATCCTGTCGATTGAAATCAAATTTCTGTTAATTGATTTAGACTGATAAAAAAGTCTAATAATCTATGTACTTGCCAAAGCAAAGTTCAAAACTAATGCAGTTTTACTCAGGCTAAAAGCACATTAATTATGAAATACAGGGATTTTTAAGAGAGTAGTATATACTCTAAAAGTGGGTGATGAAAACATCATCTTGTTAGTAGATATTTTTCCCCTGTTGCTATGTGTACATTATTTTACACCAGTATGCCTTTATATAACTATGTAGTTTCCCTCTGTAGGACAAATTACCTCTAAGAGATTTGTTAAAACCAGAACTGCAGTAAGAAATTGGAAACTATTAAAATAATATGGTATTTGCATTCTGTCTCACTGTGCTTCACCTTTTGCCTGCTCAAGTCAGTCAGAACAGGATCAGATAGTGGACGTGGAGTTTTCTACACGGAGGCTGCTCCTGCTCTGATTTTGTATATCTAAAGTAGCCCGGCTACAACCTCAGTCCATAATTGTATGCAGAAATAAATATCATAGCAGAGATTTTCCCCTGCATATATATACGGACACAGACAGAAACAATTAAACTTACTTACATATACAAACAGGCGCATTGGTGCAGTTTGGGGTTGGGTGTATGTATAACTGTAACTGCTCTGCAGTCACAGAGGTTGTGAAGAAAATTAACATGAATATATAGTTCTTTCCATAGATAAAATAACTCATGAATTGTCTTTTATTGTTGATAATTATTTTGTTCCTTTAGCAACTCTGGATACAGTTAGGTAATATTCCTCTTTGCATTTCGGTCAGCAGACTGGAATTTTCTTTGGCCAGTTACAGCAGCATCCATATTTGTTTATTGTTGCTGCAATAAAGGGCATATTCAAGGACGTAACTTCTACAAGTCGTCTTCATCTCTGTTTAGACTAGAGAACCAAAAGTGAGATTGATTCACAGAGGAAAATGCACCCAGCTGTGGCTTTTTTTTCCTATTGACCATCTATTTCTGTTAAATGTATCATTAAAAGTTCTCTGCCTTCCTGTTAGCTCAGCCTTGCCCATATGACACTGATTTACATGCTTGTTTACAGTTTATGAGGAAGAATAAAATGAACATACCGGCAAGCTTCTCATTTTTATAGTGCCAGTTGTCATGCTAGCATCATTTCCAATTTACTTACCTTTGGACAGTCTTCTTATCTGGTGTGAATAGTTTTAACCACTTTTAAGTTTTAAACATGTGGGAGATTTCCCTCCTCTTCCCCCCTCACCAAACCCTAATTTTGGGAAAGTAGAAATAAAAAGAAAGAAAGGGAGAGAGAGAAAGAGCTGAAACGTTTGGAGCTGAGCACACTGTCCCTGTTTGCTATGTAAAGTATGCCTCATTTCTTTGATCTTGAGTAATAATAATTCTGGGGAGTTATACTGTTTTCATATGCTTCAAAGCTGTGTCAAAGTTTTGCTGCTTAAGGGTACTTCTTTATTCTATTGGCTCTTGGGTACTGAGATGACAGGTCCTCTGTACTAGGTGCAGGCTTTTTCAAGTCATAGCCTTCAGCAAAACATCAAATTACCAAATACAGGGTAACATACTTCTACACAAATGCCTTTCCTGTAGATATATTATACCATATATATTAAATACTTTAGTGTTACACGGTACATTTTATGTGCAATAGAAAGTGATGGTTTGAGGTAGCCTTAGGGGTACTTTTTTCCACAAGCAGAAAAAGCTAGTGTATACCGTATCAAGTATGGTTTTTACAGGACTTTCTGCCCGAAGGCCTTTGTAAATAAGTAATGATCAACAGATTGGCTGTGGGTTTTTGAAAAGCATGCCTGTGTCAGTTTGCATGATGGGGGAAGATTTTCAAAGTGGAGCCTGCTTTCATTGCCTGCTGAAGAGGGACTGAGGGAGAGTAGTCATCCTGAGCCTGAGCTGTCTGCTCAGTAGCACATCAGAATTGCTAAACACAGGTCGAGCAGCGAGTGGAGAACTTGCCAGGCTTCCAAATCCAGACATTGTTTTCTTCCTCTTCGCCCTTGCTGCTAAATTTATTCACCAGCCCTGCGTTGGCACCCTCAGCCTCTCCCCAGATCCAACCGTCTCTTTGTCTTACTCTTTATCTACACTGACTTAACTTGGGTTCAAGGTGCTAAATAAGAGAAAGTGGATTGAATCAGAAGAGAACTCTGTTAAGCTTTGTGTGTAATGGCCAAACGCTTTTCTCCTTTCTGATAAACAAAGGTGGGCTGTATTATCTGCTATTTTGTATCCTCGTAAATTACCTACAGTGACAGGTACTTGCTTTCTGGCCCAGAAATCTTTAGTGCATGTCAGCTAAAAGTACGCAAGAGGTAAATCAGCTAAAGCACTGTCATGTCTGTAGCTGATATTTATCTTTGCTTTTTAAATTTACTTTAAAAGCTCCTTTAAAGCCAGCTTCACCCCTGTCCCTCCCACAGAAACAGCTGACTACTTGGCAGACCTTTCCTCAGCCATAGTTCTGGATCTAGATGGGGCCTGGAGGACAAGAAGTCTAGAGCATGTAAAGGATGAAAATGTGAAAAGTCAATTTATAAATTTTAATCAGAGTTGTGACTTTAGAATCACTTTCTGAGCAGCCCTGCAGTTAAGATGTTGAAAATGCTGTATAGATTTTAGATTTCCACGGTGGCTGGGGCAAATCAGGGAAGAGGGTCTTATACCATGAGATAGAACTCTATGAATTCTGCTATCACTGGAGCAGAACAGAGGACAGATGCTATATCAGAGGGATTCCCTGGGACATGATGACAAGAGGTCTGACAGGTGCTTATTTAGACCTGGTGAGAAAATCTCAAGAATTCCCACTTAAGTTGAAAGCTGTATTACCAAATACGGTCTGGATAGATAGATTGAAGACATCTTTTCAATGTCATCTTTTTGATGTTGTTGTCTCTAATTGCCAATAAGTGAGTAACTGAAATAAATAGATGGTAGGCATACGATGTTCTTTGTACAGATCACAATTGGTCTAGATTCTCATTTAGAAAGTCACTGTTCTAAGTGAATCCTACGTTGCATCAAATGACATGAGCAGAATCATACTGATGCAATACTGGAAGAATCTGATCAATCAGATACAAATCCTTCAAATTGTGACCTTGGCTAGAAATTTAAATTAACTAGAAAAATACTCTGCATTGTCATCGTTATTTCTATCTGTTTCACATCAACAGGAGCCTGTCCCATTAAATCCACAAGAACATGGGTATTATATGAAAATAACTTAAACAAGGACATCCTATTGCAATAAAAAGTAAAATCAAAATAGGAAGTGGAAGGAAAAGGAAGGAAAGCTGTGAATAGCAGGGCAATCGCATATCAGGTCTCCTTTGTGAGATGGAGAAGAAAAGTAGAACCATTTGATGCCCCTGGTGTCATGCAGTGATAGCAAGTCACCTGTTTGTCATCTCACAGTCGCAGATTTTGATGCATGTTATTGATGAACAGCCACGTTAAATATGAGGAGGCTATGTCGCCCGAATATCAAATAGCAAAGGTAGTTTTAAAAAAAAAGTGTCATTTTGGATTCTGGAATGACCAGTAAAAATGTGAAAAGCCCTGGATATGAATCAAAAAAGCCACTTAAAAGGATCATTGCTGGGGCTCAAGACTGCACTTAATGCTTTGGTAGCTGCTATTGCATGAGTGGAATACACTGACTTGAAGGAAATGTCAGCCCAGCTGAGTCAAACTACCTCTTAATGCAGGAACAAATAGCATATGACAGGGCCCAAGGGGCCTGAAGAGCAAACAAATAGTTTGTCCCTGTCCACTCTGAATGTAGTGGTGTAGTTGACATAGGCCTCTAGACAAGTAGCATACTCAGCAAAGGGTCATTATCATTAGAGTCCCTGATCACATAAGAATCAGAGGCATCAGAGGACGCTGGGATTTCAGTGTGTTGCCAAGGAGAATTTCATAAGCCTGAGGATTTTTCTTGATCAAGCATCTAAAATAATTCCCAACCAAACCATAAAACTTGCTCGGAGACTGTCAAGACCCAGCTAAATGACATGGAAAAAAGTGAGCTTTTTGGCATACGTTTCCGGAAACCTAATGAGATTATTTATCTGAAGTTGGGGAGGAAACCTCCTGTCTCTTTTCCTGAAGTTAGATATAATAGTCTAAGTATATGAACAATGGCCATTCACATTTATGTCCTTATCTGCCCACCAAGCTACATACACTCAAATGTACACAAACATTTCCACAAGTGCCACTTGGGATGAATTTGTAGTTCTCCTGCCACTGTAATACTGCCTTTCCATGAGCTGAAACTGTGAGCTATCTCATAGGACCCTCCCCAAAAAAGTGATGGGTGGGGTAGAGGGGAACATTTCTCAAGCAAAATCTTGAAAAAAAAAAAAGTTCAATCTGGTAATTTTCCATGACTCCCCTAAATCAGGCATGATGGTAAGGTTTGAAGAGGTGAAAGCTCACTGATTAACCATAATAATGGTTTATATTTATGTTCCTCAGCCTTGGAGACTTCCATCATGTATTTTAAAATC